GTTGTCTGTTTTTATGTGAACATTCAGGAAAATCCAAAATCTATTTCTGCCTCTGCTGATATCACCTTCCAGAATCTCTATGCACTACATTTCATAGTAAAAAAACTGAGGTATGGGAAGACTCATTGGTAATTAGTTTGTAGTGGGATTTTCTGAGGTTGCAGTGATGGCAGGGAGCCAGTGTTGATTGCTGAGAATAGGAGTGTCATTATCAGATCAGCTCATTTGAAAGATCAACTTGGCAGAGGTTTAGTGACTAGAGAAAGATACTGGAGTGGGAAGACCAATTAGGACAGTATTTCTCCATTACTAATAGGGGATTATAATAAGGGAGAGGTAAGGGGGAATGGCAAGAAATAGACATGAGAAATACAAAGGAGGCTAAATCAAGTGGCTTGGTGATTAAGGAGAGTTAGAGAGGAGTCAGAGTCAATTGGAAATTCCCAGGATGAATGTCAAGGGCAGTGGCATTGCCCCAGACATCAGTAGAGATGAGTGTGAGGATCTGGTGACAGTGAGAGTGAGGGGGTTGAGGGAGAGGAATGAGTAATTTTTTGAAAACTTGAGTTTGATGCAAGATAGAGATGTTGTATATGAATGTATGGAGCTCAGCAAAAGATCCACACTAGACACACATTTGGGAGTCATCTGCATTTTTTAATTTAAATAATACCAATTTAGCTGAACACACACATACTTTCATATGGGCTTCCCAGGTGGCGCTAGTGGTAAAGAACCTGCCTGCCAATGCAGAAGATGTAAAAGATGCGAGTGCAATCCCTGGATGGGGAAGATCCCCTAGAGGAGGGCATGGCAATCCACTGCAATATTCTTGCCTGGAGAATCCCATGGACAGAGGAGCCTGGTGGGCTGCAGTCCAGATGGTTGTGAAGAGTTGGACACGACTGAAGCAACTTAACACACACACATACACTTTTATATATTCTTAAATAATAGTGTAATGTAACTTATCTGACCTATAAAGCAAGTATAGGGAATTTAGAAAGTTAATTTATTTTAGCCTTTAAAAAAGATATATATCAATTCTTCCATAAACTTAAATATCATTTTGTACTTTTATTTCACATTTTGGAAAATTCCAGGACACTATGTAGAGCCACCTTCTACCCAAAATTTACAGAACAACTTAACTACCAGAGTGTTTGCCTTGATTTAAAATTTAGAGTGATTAAAATATGATTCACTTATTTTTTCTTCTACTGATTAAAAGTAAGTTCTTCTATGTCTTAATTAAAAGTCTCAGTAAAAAGTGTTTAAGGCTTTTTATGATCACTAATAGTTGGCTTGATGTAAATTCATATGAGTAAAAATTTCCCTTTTACTCATCCAAACACTTTGGAAAGGTAGGAAGAATGTATTTTGAGATAAGAATATTGAGTAAATTTTTGTTAATAATAACAGTTGTTTTGCACAGTTAATTTATATAGATTTTATTTTTCTCAACAGTATGTAATATTTATCTTCTTAAAATGAGGTATAGTTGGTTTACAATATTATATTACTTTCACTGTGTGGAAGACAGTGATTTAGAATGTTTATAGATTATAACTCCATTTACAGCAGGACTGATGTTGAAGCTGAAACTCCAATACTTTGGCTACCAGATGTGAAGAACTGACTCATTGGAAAAGACCTTGATGTTGAGAAAGATTGAAGGCAGCAAGAGAAGGGGATGAAAAAAAAAAAAAAGAGAAGGGGATGACAGAGGATGAGATGGTTGGATGGCATCACTGACTCAATGGCCATGAGTTTGAGTAAACTTCGGGAGTTGGTGATGGACAGGGAAGCCTGGCATGCTGCAGTCCATGGGGTCCCAGAGAGTCAGACAGACTGAGCCACTGAACTGAACTGAACAGTTACTTTGGCTGTAGTCCCTGTGCTGTACAATATATCCTAGTAGCTTATTTATTTTATACATAGTAGTTTTTATTTCTTTTTAAAATTTTATCTCTCTATTTTTGGCTGTGCTGGGTCTCCGTTGCTGCGCGGGCCTTTCTCTGGTTGCAGCGAGCGGGGGCTGCTCTTCAGTTGTGCTGCATTGGTTTCTCACTGCGGTGGCTTCTGCAGCACTGGCTCTGGGGTGCGTGGGCTCAGTAGTTGCGGCCCCCCGGCTCTAGAGAGCACGCTCAGTAGTTGGGGCACAAGGGCTTAGTTGCTCCACGGCATATGAGATTCCCCAGGTTAGGGATTAAAACCATGTCTCCAACATGAGCAGGTGGATGTTTCACCAATGAGCCACCAAGGTAGCCCTCCAGAAATTTTAAATGGTTGTTATTCAAAAATAATTTGCACTAGTTTCACTAGAGATTGGGTCCACTGAGCTCCTCACAGTGTCATATGAGGAGAGGAACTCCCCTCCTACATTTTCCATCCCATCTTCTTTGGTTCCTTCTTTTTGTCCACAAAAGTACTCATTCTATTTCTTTCCCCTTCAATAGATATTTATGGCCCATCAGAAAGTGTTAAGTTTCCATCAGGAATCATAGTTTCCATCAAGGATCATACCCCAACAAACTATTTACTCAATTAAAAAAAAAAGACTTTCTGATTGGATATGAAGAACTGAGGACTCTTTTTCTCCTTTTCTTCCCAAGATACTATTAAAATGATTATAAAAGAACAAGGAAGGACCCATACTGAAAAGGGCTGGAGACTGTCTGAAGTGAATGGAAAATTCTGACATCTTTTAGATGGAAAGAAGATGGGGGGTTGAATGATGAAGTGGGGTAAAGGAAGCTGCACACTTGGAAAGGTGAGAAGCTTATATTGTGGATGAGCTGATCCTTCTTTCAGATCCTTAGATAGGGTCATGCATTCCAGGTACAAAGTATGATGAAAGAGAACTGAGAGTAGGGTTAAAAATAGATATTAATTTAAATATTGTGTTCAAAATGGTTGATTTTTTTCTACTCCCATTCACAGAATACCCAGCACCCAGGTGTTCACTTCCTAAAGACAAAAACCCCAGCGGTTTTTGTCCCAAAATGGGACAAAATGAAAAACTACTTCTCTATCCAAAAGGGAAAACTGTCTGGAAAGTACTTGAGAAAGTGAAGGTGTTGTTGCCCCAGAGTAAATTTCTGTGTTAAGGTATTTCTATTTGAGGTGTGCATGTGTGCTAAGTCAATTCAGTCGTGTCCGACTCTTTGCAACTCCATGGACTGTAGCCCACCAGCTCCTCTGTCCATGGGCTTCTCCAGGCAAGAATACTAGAGTGGGTTGCCATTTCCTTCTCTATTGGAGGCAGAGACTGCTAATTGCTCTCCAATATCCACTGTCCTCTTTAGGAGGGAACATACCTGCATGGAAAATACCAAATGCCGTGGAGTGAGATAGTGGATCAGACAGAACCATCATGCACTGATGGTGGGAGTATAAATTGGTACAACTACTTTAGAAAACTATTTGACAGTATTTATTAAGAATGAATATATACATACCCCATGACCCAGCAATTCCACTCCTAATTATATAGCCAATAGATGTATGTATATATGTTTGCTAAAATTCTCTAGAATGTTCACAGCAGTACTATTCACAATATCCCCAAACTGGAAACTATCCAAATGCCAGTCAACAATGAAAGAGAAATGTTAGTTGTAGGATATTTGCACAAAAGACTTTGCAATAAAAAAATAAACAAATGAGACCTAATAAAACATAAAAGCTTCTGCACAGTAAAGGAAACCATCAACAAAACGAAGAGACAACCTACTGACTGGGAGAAAATATTTGCAAATGCTGCAACCAACAAGGGGCTAATTTCCAAAATATACAAACAGCTCATACAACTCAGCATCAAAAAAATTCAAACAATCCAATAAAAAATGGGTATAAGACTGAAATAAAATATTTCTTCAAAAAAGACATACAGATGACCAAGAAGCACACAAAAAGATATTTAACATCACTAATTATTAGAGAAATGCAAATCAAAACCATAATGAGGTATCATCTTACATTGGTCAGAATGGCCATTATCAAAAAGTCCATAAACAGTAAATGCTGGAGAAGCTGTGGAGAAAAGGGAACCCTCCCACACTCTTGGTGGGAATGTAAATTAGTGCAGCCACTATGGAAAACAGTAGGGAGAATCCTTAAAAAACTAAAAATAGAGCTACCATGTGATCTGGCAATCCCACTCCTGGGCTTATGTCTGGAAAAGATGAAAACTTTAATTGAAAAAGATATGTGCACCTATTTATAATAGCCAAGACATGGAAACAACCTAAGTGCAAATGAATGAATAAAGAAAACATGGTATATACAGAACGGAATATTACTTGGCCATAAGAATAATGAAATATTGCTATACACACTACTGTATATAAAACAGACAAACAATAGAACCTACTGTACAGCACAGGGAAATATTTTCAGTATTTTGTAATGACCTATAAGGGAAAAAAATCTGAAAAAGAATATATATGTATACACTGAATCACTGTGCTGTATATCTAAAACTAGCATGACACGGTAAGTCAACTAGTTCCATAAAAAATCAAATAAAAAGTGGCAACTCACTTGGGTGTGGTTTATGTAAGAAAGACTTAAAGAATCTCTTATTTTGGACCTACTTTGAAAACTCCCTGCCCTATATAAAAACATTGACCAGTAGCTAGCTATGAAAGTGAAAGTTGCTTAGTCATGCCCGACTCTTTGTGACCCCAAGGACTGTATAGTCTCCAGGAGAGAATACTGGAGTGGGTAGCCTTTCCCTTCACGGTATCTTCCCAACCCAGGGATTGAACCCAGGTCTCCCACATTGTAGGCAGATTCTTTACCAGCTGAGCCACAAGGGAAGCCCAAGAATACTGGAGTGGGTGGCTCATCCCTTCTCCAGGGGATCTTCCCGACCCAGGAATCAAACCGGGGTCTTCTGCATTGCAGGCAGTTTCCTTACCAACTGAGCTATGAGGGAAGCTCACCAGTAGTTATACATTTATGACTTCATTTTTAAATGTTTACATATGCCTGTATGCTTTTTGATTCTCACTTGATCCAACTATTCTGATTAACTATTGCAGCAGAGGAGATGGAAGCAGGGTTTAAGCAAAAAGTGGATTCAAAACCTTTTTGTTCACAGTGGAACAGGATGTCCAGGGAAGAGGTAAATGGACTGGAGAGATGGAGTGCCTTAGATGGGTGGATAGAAATGAACATCCAAAGAAGGAATCTGGAAGGGATTTGTACCTGGGACAGCGGTGGTCCCTAAAGAGGCTTCGGAGAGCAAAGATTAGGAGGTGTGGGGCGGGGGTGGAAAACTGGCTGCAAAGAGAATGTATTGACCGGGTACATTACAGGTGCTCCATCTACAGTGCTGGCCCCAAGGAGCCCAATTCAGGGGAAGTCCAATGGAAGCTTCAGGACTAGACTTGAAGGGGAATTCCAAACTCTCTCCTCTTGGCCGAGGAGTCTGGACAACAAACTCCTCTGTTTCACCTATCTGGCATTATCTCATCCTCATCCTCGAAAAACTGCCAAGATGGTTAACTCACTTTTCACTGAAAACACCCCCACACTTCAAATGATCCCACCTCCCTTATCTCTCTTGCCTGTTGATCTTATTTATTCACCAAAATTGGGTGGGCATGACAGGCAAACAGTGATGACACTGTTTAGCTGTCATCATCCGCAGGCTGGTGTGTGTGTTCAGCTCCTAGCAGGCAGTAGAATTAGCATCAGGGAGTGCTTGCCAAATGCATAAGGGTGGGTGAGTTTTGTTCTCTTTTGCTCACCTGCCTGAGCTTCTGTGAGAAACCCTGCGGGCAAAGAGCAGCCGATACTACAGGGACCTGCGCATCTGAGGGCGAGACGAACCAGTGGGTGTTAAGTGGGGACCCTGAAACCAGACACACAGAGACACTGGTCTGGGTGTGGTTTCCTCGGGGGGCTGGGCCTCAGATCCCAATAAATGGCTTATTTTCCTTCAGGTCCCCCACCCCAGGTCCAAGTCCGGGCAAGATGAGCAAATACAGGATTCGCGTCGCCACCGGAGACTCGCTCTTGGCGGGCTCCAGCAACCTGGTGCAGCTGTGGCTGGTGGGCGAGCACGGGGAGAAGGACCTGGGGAAGATACTGCGGCCGATACGGATCAGGGTTAGTGGAGAAGATGGGGACAGCGGCGGTGGCGGAGGGGCGCACATGGCGGGGGNAGGGGCGCACATGGCGGGGGGGGGGGGGGGCCGCTGGGGCCTCGGCAGCGACGGACCCCTGGGCATCTGGGGAAGGAGGTCGGGCACGGGTGGGGTGCCAGGTAGCAAAAGAGAAGGCGAGAGGTCTGGGAGAGAAGCGCTGCCCGTCCTTGCCCGGGTGGAGGGGCAGAGAAAAGGAGACGTCTGCCGGCCTGAGTCCCCCTCGGAGTGGCTTGTTCTTCCTCGCCTCCAACCCGGATTCATGTCTCTTCCGGGGAGCGGTCGGAGGGGAAAGAGAGGCCCGGCTTCTCCGAGGGTTCTCTGACGGGCCCTCTCCGAGAGCCCTGCACCCCGCGTCTGAGCGCGGCCCTGTGACGCAGGAGGTGCAGCTCGAGGTCGAAGTCTCCCTATACCTGGGGCGCCTCCTGCTGGTGAAGCTGCGCAAGCACAAAGGCCTGGTGGGTTTCGACTGGTTCTGCAAGTGGATCGCGGTCCAGGGTCCCGGCACCCAAGGCGAGGCCTTTTTCCCCTGCTACCGCTGGGTGCAGGGCAACGAGATCATCTGCTTGCCCGAGGGCACCGGTGAGGGCAGTGGGAAAACAGGGGGCGGCACCTTGGTGGGCTGCATGCTCTGATGTAAGAGGGAAAGGAGAGAGAGATGGAGGGAAACGGAGAAGGGAAAGGATGGGGCTGAGCATCTCGGTTGTGGAAGGGGTCCGAGCACGAAGCTATGTTAACCGAGACCCTGTGCTATTGCGACCCTTTCCCCAGCCCGGACCGTGAGGGATGATCCCCAGAACCAGTTTAAGAAACATCGGGAGCAAGAGCTTGAGGAAAGAAGGAAGGTGTACCGGTGAGCCCCAGGAAGCCTTTGATCCCTAACAGATCCCAAGAAACCCACCACCCTACTTACACTGATTCCGTCTTCTTCCTTCAGATGGGGTTTCTGGAAAGAGGGATTAATCCTGCCTATAGTAGGGAATACGCAATGGGATCTTCCCAGAAACGAGAGATTTCGTGAAGATAAGGATTTAGACTTCAGTCTCTCTCTAGCAAAAGTGTGAGTGCCAGGTTGTTGCTCTTCAGTTGCTAAGTCATGTCCAACTCTTTGTAACCCCATGGACTGTATGTAGCACATGAGGCATCGCTGTCCTTGATTAACCCCCTGAGTCTGCTCAAACTTTTGTCTATTGAGTCAATGATGCCATCCAACCATCTCATCTTCTGTCACCCTCTTCCCGTCCTGCCCCCAATCCTTCCCAGCATCAGGGTCTTTTCCAATCAGTCAGCTCTTTGCATCAGGTGGCCAAAGTACTGGAGCTTCAGCTTCAGCATCAGTCCTTCCAATGAATATTCAGGGTTGATTTCCTGTAAGACTGACTGGTTTAATCTCCTTGATGTCCAAGGGACCCCCGAGTCTTCCCCAGCACCACAATTTGAGAGTATCAGTTCTTTGGCACTCAGCCTTCTTTATGGTCCAACTCTTGAGTGCCAGGTTAAGGCTGACATCTTCATCCCCAGATGCAAGGTGGGATTCTTTCCTGAACTTCTTGCACTGGCCTTCTCTCCACAGGTTGAAGGACTTGGCCTTAAAGGGGACATTAGATCTCACAAATTCTGTAAGAAGGCTGGAAGACTTCAATAAAGTATTCCCGCGAGGAAAAACTCCTCTGGCTGGTCAGTTACCTTAACCTCCCCAGACCTACCCACATATTTCTACGTCAGGGATCTGGAAGGAGAGGGGAGAGGGTCGGAGAGTAATAGGGCAGTGACATCAGGAGCTCGGAGCTTACAGCATCCTCCCACCTGATGTCCCTAGAGCGGGTCCGCAATTCCTGGAAGGATGATGCCCTATTTGGGTACCAGTTCCTCAATGGGGCAAACCCTATGCTCCTGAGACGCTCCACGAGTCTCCCGTCACGGTTGGTGCTGCCTCCGGAAATGGAAGACTTGAAGACACAGCTGGAGAAAGAACTCCAGGTGCTGCACTTCATCTGTTCACCCACCACCCCAGCTATCATTCCAGTCTCCTTCTCTTGGCCTCATTCTTCTCTTCCCCCTTCCCTCATTTCCTCTATCAGCACCTGTTTAAGCTACACCCTCCTCCATCTATACTTCAGGGTTTCTCAACTTTGGCACTGATATTTTTGGCTCAGATAACTCCCTGTTGTGGGAGGTGTCTGCGCATTGTAGAATGCTTAGTGGCATCTCTGGCACAACCCTCTAGCTGCCAGGAGCACCCCCCAGCCGTCCTCAGGCACTGCCGAACTGCTGCTGGGGGCAACATCTTGGGGTGAGAACCACTGATCTGCACCAACTCCTTCTGCTATTACTCCTCTTCCATCTCCGCTTGCATCTCTTCTTTCTTCGTTAGCTAGTTCTCAGCCTTAGGGAAGAGCCCAAGCTTTTGGAGGGAAATAGCAAGACAGACTAAACAAAGCCCTGGAGACAGTTGGGGCTATGTTTTTTTGGGGGTAGGGGGATTCAGATCACAGAAATGTACCACATTTGGCTAAAGCCCAAAGGAGGGTGATAAGGGAAGAGTTTTGTGTGGGGGAAGGGGGTACAAGGAAAACCGCAAAGTTCACATCAGAGAGCTCCCACTCTGAGGAAAGATACTAGGCATGGAAACTCTGCATTTAGGGCTTTGGTTATGGGAGCAGTGATTGGCATTTAAGTAAAAGACTTGATGGATAGGGAAAGGAGTCAGCCTGACCAATGAGAGAAGGGCAGGTCAGGTCCAGAACTAACGTCAACCCCTTTATCTATCCCTGCTCCCCACCCCCTAGACTGGATCTCTGTTTGAAGCTGACTTCTCCCTGCTGGATGGGGTCAAACCTAATGTCATCATTTTTAAGCAACAGTATGTAGCAGCCCCTCTAGTCATGCTGAAGCTCCAGCCTGATGGAAGACTCTTACCTATGGTCATCCAGGTGAGAGGACCCAGGTGTCCTGCCCCCAGTCATTGATCTTCCTTAGTAACTTGGACACCCAGGTCCTTAGCCCCCAAGTCTCTCTCCTGCTCTAGCTCCAGCCTCCTCGGAATGGATGCCCCCCACCTGTGTTGTTCCTGCCTTCGGATCCACCCATGGCCTGGCTCCTTGCCAAGATCTGGGTCCGGAGCTCTGATTTCCAGCTGCACCAGCTACAGTCACACCTGCTGAGGGGCCACCTGATAGCTGAGGTTATTTCTGTGGCCACCATGAGGAGCCTGCCCAGTCTGCATCCTATCTACAAGGTATTTCGTGTGTGCGTGCTAAGTCGCTTCAGTTGTGTCCAACTCTGTGAGATGCTATGGACTGTAGCCTGCCAGGCTCCTCTGTCCAGGGGATTCTCCAGGCAAGAATACTGGAGTGGGCTGCCATTTCCTCCTCCAGGGGATCTTCCCGACCCAGGGGTAGAACCCGTGTCTCTTATACCTCCTGCGTTGGCAGGCAGGTTCTTTACCACTAGCGCCACCTTTCAGCATCTCTTAATTCTGCATCTCACTGCCCTTCAGATTTCACACTGTCAGACTCTGGAGATGTTTACACATGATCTTGTGGCATGTTAGGTTAGTAGCAATCTCAGTTTACACATACACACATATACACAGTGCTATGGAAATGCCTAGGATTAAAGAAAGAGTGAGAATGGGTTTTACAAAGAAATTGAAATTTGGGCTGAGGATGTTGTCGGTTGGATAGTAAGGGGTGGGACATTCCAGTCAGAGAGATCTGTAGAGGTACATGGATGATGACTGATATCAGGTGTGACTGGAGAGTAGGGTGTGAGTGATCGAAGTGCTGGGTAGGAGGAAAGGGAGGTGGGAGAAGATGAGGGGGATAGCCCTGTTACTTCATGGGGAGAAGAATTAAGAGCTCTGCTTGAAATGTCAGGAAAGGGAATTCCCTGGTGGCCTAGTGGTTAGGATTTGAGCTTGTACTGCCAAGGCCCAAGTTCATTCCTTGGTCGGGGAACTGAAATCCCACAAGTCATGTGGTGTGGCAAAAAAAAAAAAAAAGTAANGCCAAAAAAAAAAAAAAGTAAAGAAAAGAAAAAGAAAACAATATACAATAAAAATTAAAAAAAAAAGAAAAAGTCAGGAAGGCAGTTAGATATATGAGCCTGGAGTTCTTGGAACAGGTCAGGATTAAAGGTATAGATTTCTTTCTTTTTTTCTTTTGTTAGGTAAGAAGTGGATATATTTTGAGAGAAACACACTCCACAGACAGAGTGTGGGCCATCTTAGAAGGCGAGTGTGGCTGAAGGTATAGATTTTAAAGTTATCAGAAAACAGACATATCTAAAGTCATTATGAAGACTAGATTAAGCTGTCCAGGGTTTGTAGCTACAGCAGAGAATTTGACCCAGATACAACTCTGGGGTGTCACAACCCTTATAAATTGAAAGGAGGGAATGAAGTAAGAAAAGGAGCAAGAGGAGAGCTATCTACTGAGGAAGGAGGGAATCACAAAGTGTGATACCAGGACAGCCAAAAGGAAAAAATGCTTCAAGAGAGAGGTGTGATTGTGTCAAATGCTGTTGAGAAGCAAACACAGTTACAAACAGAGAAGTGACATTTGGATTTGTCGATATGGAAGTCATTGGTTAATCCACTGGTTAGTCCTATCTCAGGGGAGTGGAGGTGGCAGAAGCCTGATCAGTGTGGGCTGAGCAGAAAAATATCATATGAGGAAGTAGAGACAATACTAGGTGGCTCCTTTAAGACTTGCTATGAGAAACAGACTTACAGACTGACAGAACGAACTTTTGGTTACCGGGGCAGGGGAGGGGGGAGGGACTAGTTAGGGAGTTTGGGATTGACATGCACACACTGCTATATTAAAGATGTCCATTGGCAGATGGATGGATAAGGAAGCTGTGGTACATATACACAATGGAATATTACTTGGCTATAAAAAAAGAACACACTTGAGTCAGTTCCAATGAAGTGGATGAAACTGAAGCCTATTATACAGAGTGAAGTAAGTCAGAAAGAGAAACACCAATACAGTATATTATTAATGCATATATATGGAATTTAGAAAGATGGTAATGACGACCCTATATGCAAGACAGCAAAAGAGACACAGATGTAAAGAACAGACTTTTGGACTATGTGGGAGAAGGCGAGGGTGGGACGATTTGAGAAAATAGCATTGAAACATGTATATTACCATATGTAAAACAGATGACCAGTGCAAGTTCAATGCATGAAGCAGGGCACTCGGAGCTGGTGCTGTGGGACAACCCAGAGGGATGGGGTGGGAGGGAGGTAGGAGAGGGGTTCAGGATGGGGGGACACATGTACCCTGTGGCTGATTCATGTCGATGTATGGCAAAAAAACAATACTGTAAAGTAATTATCCTTCAATTAAAATAAATAAGTTAATTTAAAACAAAACAAACATACAACAAAAAAAGATGGACAGTCAACAAGGACCTACTGTATAGCATAGGGAACTCTGTTCCTTATTATGTGACAACCTAAATGGGAAAAGAATTTGAAAAAGAATAGATACATGTATATGTACAACTTAGTCACTTTGTTTACACCTGAAACTAATACTTTATTGATCAACTATACTCCAATATGAAATAAAAAGTTTTTTAAAAAAGAAGACTTGCTATGAGAGGGGAAGCAAGCAATGAGGATGCTGCCAGAGAGTGGTTTAAGTTTAAGCCAAGGGTTTTTTTCTTTAGAGTATCCAATACTAAGTGAGAGAGAGGACAGAGAGAGAACGAGCAGGAGTGACACCTCTAGGGAAGGCAAAGAGGATGTGAGGAGTTTGCGTTGGAAGGCAGTAGATAGGAATAAGACACAGGTATAAGACAGAATTTCACATGTAGGAAACTTTCTAGTTTTTGTGAGGAGAGACAAACGACTCCTAAAATTCTTATATATTACATGAAACTGTGCAAACTGTGCAAATAAGTGCACTCCTAAAACCTTTGACCTTTGACCCAAGAAGACAGTTCCTCATCTTGCTTCTCCCAAATCTTAACCAGACCCAATACAATCCAACAGGCACTCTCTCCTTTTCATGAAGACCCATCCTCTCCCCGGTTTATTTCCTCTCTCTGGTCCTTTAATCTCCTTTCCACTCATGGCTCCTAGGACCCCTCTTATTTGACTGTGTCCCAATTCTTTCTTCCATAATCAGCTCCTGATTCCACACTTTCGCTACACCATGGAGATCAACGTGCTGGCCCGGAGTAATCTTGTCTCTGAATGGGGAATTTTTGATCTGGTATGGAGAGGGATGGGTAAAGAGGGAAGAGGGTACAAGGATGAAGGAATTCACTAGCCCATTCCTCCCTGAAGCTCTGTGTCCTGTACCAAAGGTCTCCCCCTGATCTGTGTCACACCTGAGTAGCTTCCTTCATAAAGGGGCCTGAGGAGGGCCACTGGGCTTGAATCTCCTGACCCTGACTGCCATTCCCCTCGGCTGACATGTGCTGTGTGCTTAGTCACTCAGTCGTGTCCTACTCTTTGCAGCCCCATGGACTGTAGCCCTCCAGGTTCCTCTGTCCATGGAATTCTCCAGGCAAGAATACTCGAGTGGGTTGCCATGCTCTTCTCCAGGGGATCTTCCCAACCCAGGGATCGAACCTAGGTCTCCCACATTGCAGGCAGATTCTTTACCATCTGAGCCACCAGGGAAGCCCTCAGCTGACATGGCAAACACCAATTTTTCTGCTGTGGGTTGCCCTCAGGTGGTGAGCACTGGGAGTGGCGGCCATGTAGACATTCTCCAGAGAGCCACAGCTGGTCTGACCTATCGCTCCTTCTGCCCTCCTGATGACCTGGCAGACCGTGGGCTCCTGGATGTGAAGTCTTCTCTCTATGGCCAAGATGCGCTCAGGCTCTGGGGAGTCATCAGCCGGTAAGAGCAACATGGACAGGGAAGACCCAGTGGGCCCTCTGGTGAGAACAAGGGGGACTGCAGATACAGAAGGTCCTAGGCTGGCCATTTGAGACCCAGTGTCTACTTCCCTGGGGAGCAGGTATGTAGAGAAGATGGTCAGTCTTTTCTACAAGAGTGATGGAGCTGTGAAGGATGATCCAGAACTGCAGGCCTGGTGTAGAGAGATCACTGAGACTGGACTGCAGGGGGCCCAGGACCGGGGGTAAGGCCCAGATCCCTCCCCACTGACCTTGTGTCAACTCACACCCATCTGTCAACAATCCATACCTTTTCACAAAACTGTAAGTCACCCTAGTGGGGTTTGGGGGGAAATGGATACATGCATATATACCACTGAATCCCTTTGCTGTTCACCTGAAACTCAGAAGTTGTTAACTGGCTATACCTCAGTGCAAAAAAAAAAAAAAAAAAGAAAGTTTAAAGCCAAAAAAAATTTAAGACACCCTACCTCTAGACTCAGAGCTTCCTCCAGAAATTCTAATTCTAATCACTCCTGATTCCCCAACCCCTTTCTTTTCTCACCCTCTTATACAGCATTCCCCATCCTCATGCAACTTGCTAAGAGCTTCCTCTAGAACCAAATACATTTCCCTTAGTTATTTTCCCTCACCTTTTCCTACCCTGTCTCCCTAATGCCAACATTCATCCAAGCCCATAAACATGTGAATACACACTATGTGTGTACTAGAGGCACAACAACACACAGGAATTCTTTTCTGTATCCCCAGATATCTTTCACTGCCTGAGATCAACTGTCTCCTGTCCTGGTCTCAAAGCCTCAAATTCTTACCTCACACAGGTTCCCCATCTCCTTAGAGTCCCGAGCTCAGCTCTGCCACTTCATCACCATGTGCATCTTCACATGCACTGGTCAGCATGCTTCCACCCACCAGGGCCAGGTAACCTGTTGTGATCCTCGCCCCCTGGGGCTCCTGGGAGGTAGAAGATAGGGGACCAAATGCCTGGGTCATCAGCCTGGGTTTCTGAGAGGCTCTCCTACCTGCAGCTGGACTGGTACTCCTGGATCCCGAATGGTCCATGCACCATGCAGAAGCCCCCGCCCATTTCCAAGGATGTGACAGAGAAGGATATAGTAGACTCGCTGCCCAGTCTGCACCAGGCCCGAACACAGAAGACCTTCATAAAGTTCCTTGGCCGACGCCAGCCTGTCATGGTTAGAGATGGATGCCTATGCCCTGGGGGAGAAGGAGCAGTGTTCTTGGCCGAGGGGTCCACAGGCTGAGCCTTTTTGTTCTCCCCTGTCAGGTGGCCTTGGGGCAGCACAAAGAAAGCTATTTCTCTGACCCTGGGCCTCAAGCTGTGCTGAAGCAATTCCAGGAGGAGCTGGCTGCCCTGGACAAGGAGATTGAGGTCCGGAATGCAGGCCTGGACCTGCCCTACGAGTATCTTCGACCCAGCATGGTAGAGAACAGTGTGACCATCTGATGCCTTGCACACATCATTCCCAAACTCTGCCCTCCTTAAGTACCCTTTGAGTACCCCACCCTCCTTGGCCACAGCCTCTGGTGAACAGATTGTCCCCTAAGCAGTGGTCAGTGCTCAGGGATGCTGCATCACCCAACTCTAGGGAATACATAATGAATCATTCCCACTGAATTTTGGAACCCATCCCTACCCACAGCTGCCCTACCTTAATGTCCACCTAGCCCTACACTTCTTTGTCCTTTGTTCCCGTCTCCTCTTTCTCAAAAGAATCTAGTTTGTATATAAATGAAATGAAAAGATATATAAAATAAATGAAAAGATCTAATTAAATAATAAAGTTGTTTATGCATGGTGAAGGAAGGAGGTAGGAAAAAGATCTTAGTTTGTTTCCTGTCCTCTCATTCAGATTCCAAGGAAGAAAAATAAAGATGCTTTCCTGGAACAAAAATTTCTTCCTGTAATTAATGCATCCTTCAAGGGTTTTCTTAAACTTTTTAAACCTAAATTAGGGAAGTTCTGACTGATTGCCCAAAGCATTTAATACCAGCAAAGTTGTATAAGAAATTATAAATCAGGGTTGAGAGCAGCGTGGAAGAAAGGAGAAGGCAAGGAGGGCCTATTGATAGAACTGAGAAATCACCAGGGAAAATATACATGTGAAATGTCAAGGGGTTACCCTGGATGACTAGGTCTGTACCTTTGACAGGGGCCAGTGAAATAAACAGGGGCATGTAGGATTTAGAATAGAATCCATTTGAATTCTCCTTCTAGTTGTAGGAAAACACATTTTAAGAAAACAGTCCTTAAAAAGAGGAGTTTCATACCCTGGAAGATTCTTCTTGTTCTTTTCCACCTGCATCTGTACAGAGACACATGTGGAAGAGAACAAAAAAATCTTCTGTATGAAAAGGACTCTCACCAGAAACATACTGCTAGGGAGCAGATCAAAATTATACTTCCAATATGAGTTTAGAAAAACGTCATGATTTAATCACAACTGTGAAGGAATATCAAAAAGAAGGGGTAAGAAGGGAACTAGCAGAATTATTAGAGAAATGGAAATCGAAACTACAATGAGGTAACACCTCACACTGGTCAGAATGGCCATCATTAAAAACTCTACAAAAAAACAAATGCTGGAGAGGGTGTGAAGAAAAGTACTCCTATACTGTTTGTGGAATGTAAGTTGATGCAGCCACTATGGAGAACAGTATGGAGGTTCCTCAGAAAACTAAAAACAGAATCATCACACGATCCAGCAATCTCACTCCTCAACATATATCCAGGCAAAACTCTAATTCAAAAAAGTACATATACACAGTGGAATACTACTCAGCCATAAAAAATAAAATAATGCCATTTTCAGCAACATAGATGCAACTAGAGATTATCATACCAAGTAAAGTCAGGAAGAGAAAGACAAATATCATATGATATCACTTATATGTGGAATCTAAAATATAACATGAATTAACCCATTGATGAAACAGAAACAGACTCACGGATACAGAGAACAGATTTGTACTTGCCAAAGGGGAGGGTTTTGGGGAAGGGATGTAGCGGGAGGTTGGGGTTAGCAGATGTTAGCTATTATCCATATAATGGATAAACAACAGGGTCCTACTGTACAGCATGGGGAACTATATTCAATATCCTATGATAAAGTATAATGGAAAAGCATATCAAAAAAGAAGGTATGTATGGACCTCCATGGTGGCTCAGTGGTAAAGAATCCACTTGCCAATGCAGGAGACACAGGTTGGGCCTCTGATCCAGGAAGAACCCACACGTTGCAGAGCAACTCGGTCGGCGCACCACAGCTACTGAGCCCCTGCTCGAGGGCCCGGGGCCACAACCACCGAGGCGCTGTGCTGCGACTCCTGAGGCCGCCGGGCCCTAGGGCCAGAGCCCCGCAACAAGAGCCGTCACACCACTCGGAGCTCGCGCGCCACGCTAGGGTAGCCCCCGTTCACCACAACCAGAGAAAAGCCCGAGCGCAGCAACGAAGACCCAGCACAGCCAAAAATAAATAGATCTCATTGGTAAAAATCATTTTAAAAAAGCAATGTGTACATATAAAACTCAATCATGTTGCTATACAGCAGAAATTAATACAATATTGTAAATCAACTATACTTCAATGAAGAAAACCAATGGAATATGAAAAAAAAGGAGTTAATTAAGAGAGCACATGTTAGGGGAAGATCAGGAGCACAAAAAAGAAGATAAAAATATTTAAGATATATATATATATATAAAGAAGGGACTAGCAGAATTCTGGGAAGAAACACAAGGCAAAAGAAAAAATACATAGAAGAAATATAAGATAAAATTAGGAAGAGTAAAACAGGGACTAGACATAGAAAGCACAGTACAAAGGTTAGAAATCTAAAAGCTAATAAAACATAATGCAAACCAAAATAAAAATGAAAGGTTCAGCGGGAAAATACACAACGGGTATGAATGACTGAGAGTGAAGAACAGATTAATTGCAATTCCTAAAAAAGAAACAATGAGATAAAACAGTGGGATAGAATACATATGTTAAAATATATATAATGGAAGAAATCTCTCTTGAAATAAAAATCTACATATTGAAAGGAAAAATCAAGTGTCAGTGAAAACTGACCTAGAATTGTCAACTCAGAGGTATATCCCTAAAGTTACTGGATTTTAAAGGTGAGTAAACAATCCTGTAGGCAGAAGGGCAAGAAGATCAAGCCACAGTATTCAATGCCAAACATCAGTGGGTCCATCCCTTCAAAATATTCAAGGAAAAAGCTAGCCAAGAATGTTTCCTGTCTCTGAATTCTTTTTTCTTTCGCTCTCTTTTTTTTTGTTGTGTTAAAATACACATAATATAAAATTTGCCACCTTAACCATTTTAAAGTATAGCAGTTCAGTGGCATTAAATACATTCACACTGTTGTGTAGACATCACCATCATCCACTGCTCTCTTCATCTTATAAAACTGAAACTCTATAGCCATTAAACAATAATTCTATATCCTACCCTTCCCCCAGAGCCTGGAAACCACCATTATACTTTCAGTCTACATGATTTTGATTCTTCTAAGTATTTTATATAAGTGGAATTATATAGTATCTATCTTTCTGTGGCTTTGCATGAACCCTGACTTCTCCATTTATTCATCTTGAAACTGATTTTTTTTTAAAATATGGGGACTTCTCTGGTGGTCCAGTGGTGAATAATCTGCCTGCCAATGCAGGAGACACAGGTTTGATCCCTACTCTGGGAAGACTCCACATGCCACAGGACAACTAAGCCCGTGTATCACAACTACTGAAGCCCACATGCCCTAGAGTTAAAGCTCCACAACAAGAGAAGCCACTGCATTGAGAAGCCCGTGTACTGCAAGGAAGAGTAGCCCCCTCACCACAGCCAGAGAAAGCCCACTAGCAGCAATAGATGCAGTGCAGCAAAAAATTAATTAATTAATTAAAATAAAATTTTAAGATATGGTGTGAAATAATAGTCCAATTCCATTTTTTCCCCACCTGGATAATTAGTTATCCCAGCACTGTTTGTTGAGATCTTTCCCAACTAGGTTATAAAGCTGACATAAATCAAGTTGCCCGTGTATGAATGGGACTATTTCTGGCTATTTTATTTCCTTTATCAGTTTGTCTTTCTCTGTTCCACACTAACATAATTACTACATTTTTATGATGAACATAGCCTATTATTTGAAAATAGATATTCATTTAACTTGTCCTTAAGGGTGCTTTCACTTTTCTTCGACTTCTGGCCTTCCATATAAATATTAGATTCTGTTTGTGAAGTTCCACAAAGAAAACCCATTGTGACTTTGTTGCTGTTGTTGCTCTGGGTCTTATACTGCTGTGCACAGGCTTTCTCTAATTGAGGTGAGCTGGAGCTACTCTCAAGTTGTGGTGTACAGGCTTCTCATTGCAGTGGCTTCTCTTGTTTCAGAACATGGGCTCTAGAGCTTTCGGGCTTCAGTAGTTATGGCACTTGGGCTTAGTTACCCCTCAGCAAGTGGGATCTTCCCAAACCAGGGATCAAACCCATGTTCACTGCATTGGCAGGCATATTCTTATCCATTGGATCACCAGCAAAGTCCAAACCTGTTGTGATTTTGACTGGCATTGTATTGCATCTACATGACTTTTTTTTTTTAAAAACAAAATTCTGCATTTTTATAAAACTTGATAAAAAAATAGTATTTCAAACTGTACAGTCACCAGAAGTACACAGTTATCAAAAATGCACACACTTCACTTGGCATCTCCAGCACCTTCAGCTTTCTGTGCCTGGTTTGTTTTGGCATCTCCATTTTCTGCAGGGTTATTCCCATCCTTGCCAGCATCAGCTTTCTCCTTTTTCCCTTTGGGTACCTTCTCTCCCTTCTTTGCAGGGGCCTTTTTAGGCTTGGGCTCTGGCTTTGGAGGAGCAGGTTTAGCAGATAACCTTGCAGATCTTCTCTGTGGTTCGTCCTTCACCTTGGCTTTATCTCCTTTAGCATCCCCTTCAGCCTTTCTCTTGGGCATGGTGGCTGCGGCGGCGGGACGTAGGCGCTGGACACGGGGATGCAGTGGCGCGAGGGCTTTAAGTCGGTCCAGGGGTCGCTCTCGCCTCTTCTTCACACTGCTCCTACATGACTTTTTAAATCTTAAGCTAACTTTGTACATTTGAGATGTATCTAACCCAGTCATTTTTTATATTGCTGAATTCAATTTGTTAACATTTTGCAATTTTCACCTCTATGTTATTAAGAGAAATGCCTATAATTTTCTTTTCTTAAGCAATCCTTCTCTGATTTTGTCAAGGTTTTAACTGCCCAGTAGAGTTTATTTGGGTAGAATTTCTCTTTTTGTTGTTGTTGCTATTTTTGGAAACATCTTATCTAAGACTGGAATTATCTTTTCCTAGAATATTTTACACAACTCTCTAAAACTTCTAGGTCTGTTTGAGTATGTATGTGATTTTTGTTGCTGTTGTTTTGTTTGCTTGTTTGTTTTGGTAGGAAGATTTTTAACTATATGATAAAATTCTTTAATAGTTTAAAATATATTTAGGTTTTCTATTCTTGAGGAAGATTTAGTTCTACTTTGGGAATTTGTCAACACTTCATCAAATTCATTATCATTTTGTATTTACAATATTGTTTTATTTATCAATTACCCTCAGCAGCAAAGGACACAAGACCAGAAATGAGAGCATAGACCTTCCCTATGAATACCTAAAACCCAGCAGCATAAAGAACAGCATCAGTAAATTAGCCCCAATCTATTCTCTTTTCAAAGACCTCAGACCACCATGATAGTTACAAAAAGGAGAAGAAAAAATC